TTTTACAATTATTCATACAAATTTGCCGGCGTTATCTGACGGTATCTTCATCTTACCGTATAGCTGCTTTCGAGTAGCCCAACATTTTCACTTCCCTTTAGGATATCGTTTCTGTACCTGCGCCAACGGGTGAAGCGGCGAAAACGGAGCCCCTCGTTAAATTCCCTAGCGAGCAAACATGCATAGACGCCTTTACACCGCCATGCTCTGACATTGTGTCAGGTGAGATGAAATTCATATTTGGTGCCTAGTGCCTCCACTGCCTTCAATTTTACTGCATTCAACCCCGAACAAAGCCTGTTTCTCACCAGTTCCTTTCCCCTTCAGGCACTTCAAAGCTCAACGTCACGATTGACCTCAAATCGGAGCAGGTGACACTTATGCTCGAAGGTGCTAAAGGGGAACAAGTACAAGCCGTCTTCGTTCCAGGTTCCGCGGCCGGTTGGATGACGCCCGCCTCGGCCCTGATTTTTGCCAGTTTGGCCCTCCTCTTCTTCCTGCATTAGAGCCCAGCTCATGCGGAAACCACCCCCCCCCGAGCCAGGGGATGCAAGCCAATTGCTTCTTAGTTTATACGTATTCAAATAAAGTGGTGCATAACACACAATTCTTTTTTTCACAAACGAACGCCAAGTGGCTTTCTCGGTATGGTTGCCGGGTCATAAGACGTAATTAAACTCCCAGCCGGCTGGAGGGTAATATCATCGGTGGGGTTGTTTAAAGCAAGCTATACTTCGGACATTGGGTGTTTAGAAATAAAAATCGTATTTAGAGCAGAGGTGAAAGGCTTGGCGATAAGTTACGGGGCCTAGAAGAATCAACGTGCTGCGGACTGGCAAGTAAATGTTTGTGTGAAGATGCAGTAGGACCGTTTCTTCCCTTTTAAAAAAGCTTTTTCGGGAAAGGGGCATTTTAAAGACCGTTTGGTGGATTACCTACCTCTCCATCCTTTTTAATCGCTTTTGGGTATGGGGGTAGTGTGTGTTAGTTGCAACGCAAGCCCCCTCAAGGTTGATATATTAACCGATTAAATGATAAATACTTAAAAATGTTGTACAGCCATGTAGTCTACACTGAAATTCGACAAGGAAGACTTCGGTTTACTCCAGTTGAATTTTTGCGATTAATTAGTTCATCAAAAAATCAGATTAAACGATAGAGCCAAGCGGGCGGCGTGAAAGGATGAGTTTTAACCAAAGAACACTTATTTACCCTGTCCATTTATAAAAATTTAATTATCCCTGCAAATGCACTGGCCTGATGAAGAGGGGTTGAAAACATATGTTTACCAAGTTGACTTTTTAAAATCAGTGCATACGTGCAGTAAAGCTGGGCAAACAAATCGACCCAAGCGTTATTAAATTCACGACGCACGGTGAGCCCCGTAGCTCAAATGGTAGAGTGGCCGCGAATTTTTCACAATTGGGTCAATCGAACAGTAGATACTCCTTCAAAGTTAAAAAACAGACGCAGACACCGGTTGGATACTTCCACTGACAGCGCATGCGCTGAGCCCCTCTGCCCCGTGAAAATCAACACGCATATAAAGTTACTCCAGTGAATACAACGGGGTTAGAAAGGGCAGGTATATTATATGAACAAATAGGATTTCTTGTCCGGTGAGGGAAAGAGGGGGAGGGGGATAAGCGTGCAGAAACGCACACACACAGAAATATAGCCACATTTATACAGAATCTCAAGTGCATTGAAATAGAGGCCTGGTAGCAAAATAAAAAAGCGAATAAAATATAATCCGGGGGAGGAACCCGAGCGGCATCATCAGCTGTCCTCTTCTTCCTCCTCCTCCTCTTCATCTTCCAGTTCTTCCACTTCCTGGGGCAATTCAATCAGCTCTACCACATCTGTCGGTCCTGGAACGTTTTCCTCGAGGGATTTAGTGGAAACACGGATGCAGGGTTCTACGGAAAATAAAATAGGGAGTAATTTTAAAACCACTCAGAGAGGTATGCACATGAATGTGCAAGATAACAGCGAGTTATTGCAGACTGTGTTGGCAAGAGAGACCGCGTTTACATGAAGGACCGCAATGGCAGTTTCGCCTATTGTATGACTCCTCTCTCTCGTGCGCGAAACTACTTCTCCTTGAGACCGCGCAGCGGGGTTAACAATACTGGCAACAGCATCCACAATGGATGTGAAAAGGGGAAATTACAACAGTCAATCCAAAGAGGCCGAAGCGAACCCCGCTGGTAGGAGAGGAACTCATCACAGGTCGAAGGGGACTAAAAGCATGTGTATACACACGCACAGACAACCTCCAGTAGGAGGAATATCTCAAGAAATGCTAAGCAAAATTGTGTTCCACAAAGATTACTTTAATATAGCAATATAACTGGCAAGGATAGTTTAAGTAGTGCACCTCCTATAGCCCTAGTCCCAGCAATTTGTCCTATGGAAACGGTGGTTATAGCGGTTTTTGGGGTGAGGAAATAGGATAGGCAGTGGAATATTCTTTAATAACTGCTATATGCATTTTTATTATATTGTATTTAGAAGTGTTGTTGATTTATATCTGTAGATTTTCCTAATCTGTATTACCATTTAACTTTAGAAGTGTTTTTGATTTATATCTGTAGATTTTCCTAATCTGTATTATCGTTTAACGTATTACGGAAAAACCTGATTATCAAATTGCAGGTTTCTTGAAATTCCCGAAAAAAGGACGTAGACCAAACGCACCCATGTGGACATCAAACATGTGTTTGTCCAGGAACTTGGGCAGGGCGAACGACGCCCGACAGTATTCACAGTCATAGCAGGCAGCCTCCTTGTCGACGATGCTTTGCGGGGGGAAGGGCATCCGCACTGAAAGGCAAATTGGAACAAAGTAAGACTGTAGCGGTGATGTGCAAACAAGCGGGGATGGAGAGTTATAAGACCTACAAAAGCCGCTACTCACCCCACCCCCTCGCAACTGCAACCGGTTCAAACCGCGACTACGTATGCTCGCACTACAGTCATACTCAAGGTAACCAATGATGCCCGTATGCCACAGCACTAAAGATCGCTGTCTATCCGATTCCGTCGGTCGGTGGCAGACATCCGGGAAGAATTGGGTCAATTGAAACACCTGTCCGGCTGAAAATACGCTCGAAATGGGCCTTCACCATATCCACAGGCTCAACTGGCCATTCTGGCATGGTCACAAGCTAGACCCGAATCTGAACGAGACCATTTTCAACACATACACCTGCTCTGAGTTCCAGAATTAAGTTCTCGGTCATTTAAAGAGCTACAACTGAAAAACTGGAGTATTTAGTAGAAACCCCGCAGGGAATAGGGGGGAACCTACGGATGAGCCGAACCCTTCACAGCTGTACTATGCAGTGACAGAATATCGGCAAAACACACGAATCACGGCTTATTCCGTGGCGCAGTCCAATAATGACAGTTGCCAACCATATCCACACGCTCAACTGGCCATTCTGGCCATTCTGAACGAGACCATTTTTTAACACATACACCTACTCTGAAATTAATTTCTGAGTAATTTAAAAAGCCACGACTGAAAAACTGGATTGTCTGCCAGAAACCCCG